CGAGATTAGTCACTACATTCTACCCTGGGTGACAGAGCCAGACTCCGTCTCAAAGAAAAAAAGAAAAAAAAAAAAAGCCAGCAGTCTGGTCTGTCCTCCGGCCAGCAGTGGCTTTTGTTTGTCCCATAGCAGAATATACTCCCTCCTTCCAAAAGCTCCAGTCCCAGATTCTCATTCCTGTGCAGCACCAGCTCGAAGTCTAGGATTTCACATGTAAATCTGATCTTGGTGTGGATCAGGCCCCTTGGGGTAGGCCCGTGAGTGCAGCTCCTGAGGATCTGTGGGCAGACAGGGAAAGCATCAGCTAATTCCCCTGTTTTTAAAGTTGTTTTGTTAGAGACAGAGTCTCACTATGTTACCCAGGCTGGCCTCAAACTTAGACTCAAGTGACCCTTTCACCCAGCACTTTAATTTTTTTCTCTTTTAGAGACAGGGTCTCACTGTGTTGCCCAGGCTGGAGTGCAGTGGCTATTCACAGGTGTGACCATAGCACACCACAGCCTCAGACTCCCGGGCTTAAGCCCCTAGGTAGCTGAGGCTCTAGTACACAGCTTAATATATTTTAGGTGGGGCACGGTGGCTTACGCCTGTAATCCCAGCACTTTGGGAGGCTGAGGCGGGCGGATCCCTTGAGGTCAGGAGTTCAAGACCAGCCTGGCCAATATGGTGAAACCCCGTCTCTACTAAAAATACCAAAATTAGCCTGGTGTGGTGGCAGGTGCCTGTAGTCCCAGCTATGCTGGAGGCTGAGGCAGGAGAATAGCTTGAACTCTAAAGGCAGAGGTTGCAGTGAGCCAAGGTTATGCCACTGCACTCCAGCCTGGGCTACAGAGTGAGACTCCGTCTAAAAAAAAAAATTGAATTGACAGGTAAAAATTGTGTATATTTTATGGTGTATAACATGAGGTTTTAATAAATGTACAAAAGGGAACAGCTAAATCAGGCTCCTGAACATATGCTTTACCTCGTATACTTTTCCTTTTTTGTGTGCTGAGAAGACTTCACATCCACTCTCTTAGCTTCCCCCTTTATTTTATTTATTTTAATTTTTTATGAGACACAGTATTGTTCTGTCGCCCAGGCTGAAGTGCAGTGGCACAGTCTTGGCTCACTACAACCTCCGCCTCCCAGGTTCAGGTGATTTTCCTGCCTCAGCCTCCGGAGTAGCTGGGATTACAGGCATGCGCCACCATGCCTGGCTAATTTTGTATTTTTAGTAGAGACTGGGTTTCTCCACGTTGGTCAGGCTGGTCTCAAACTCCCAACCACAGGTGACCCACGCGCCTCGGCCTCAAAGTGTTGGGATTACAGGCGTGAGCCACCGTGCCTGGCCCTATTTTCTTCAACCTAGTAGGATCAGTGGCTGGGTGAGAGTTTTGCTTTTTCCTTTGGCAAGACGGCTCATAGGTGGTGCTGTGTTCTCCAGGCTCCTGAAGGCATGTGGCAGCCGGCTGACCGAGAAGCTCCTGGAAGGCGCTCCGACCGAGGACACCTTGGTCCAGATGGAGAAGCTTGCAGGTGAGCCAGGGGTGCTGTTTCTGGGGCCTTGGCCCAGATGGCTGTGGGATGGTACCAGCTCTCTGCTCTCCTGGCAGGAATTGCTGAGGGAGGGAAATGCAGCTCTGAAGCAGCCCAGGATGAGCCTTTGGGAAGCTTGCCCCTGAGCTCGGTGTGATTGTTGTGATTTCCTGTCTCAACTGTTTGCCTTGACCGCCATGTGAAGGAATCTGTTTCCTGCCAGGTGCGGTGGCTCATGCCTGTAATCCCAGCACTTCGGGAGACCAAGGCAGGTGGATCACCACTAGGTCAGGAGTTCAAGATTAGCCTGGCCAAGATGGTGAAACCCTGTCTCTACTAAAATTACAAAAAATTAGCTGGGTGCAGTGACAGGCGCCTGTAATCCCAGCTACTCAGGAGGCTGAGGCAGGAGAATCGCTTGAACCCAGGGGGTAGAGGTTGCAATGAGCTGAGATGGTGCCACTGTACTGCAGCCTGGGCAACAGAGTAAGACTCCATCTCAAAAAGAAAGAGTCCATTCACTAGCTAGGTGGGGAAAATTCACTGGTAGGGCCGTGCATAGAGAGAACGGGCTGATTGAAGGTTTCTCGTCCCTGTTTTGTGATAGCTGAGTGCTCAGCCTGGTCGACACCCTCTTCTTAGTCTTTCCTCCTTTACAAATAAAGTGTCTGTTTCATTTAGACCCAAGTTTTCCATCAAGGGCAGTGGTTCCCTGACGTCCCAGGTGCTTGGGCTTCTCCAGGTTCCTGATGGGGCTCGGGGCCCTGGGCCTGGGGATCTTGGCACCTTGTGCACCAGCGCAGAAGCACTGGGCCCAGTCTTGGCCGAGGTTTCCGTCAGGGATGATTTGATCTTGGTGCTACAGGTCTGTGATCTCGGCTGCGAGGTGGGCGCACAGACTTAGGACCATTGTTCCACACTGCATGTCATCAGTCATGCTTCCCATGCTTCTGCTTGCAATCGACTGGCCTTCCAAACAGCTGGAGCTGTTTCAAGGTGTTTCTGCAGGCAGGTGCAGGCGTGCCCTCAAATAAGCTTTGCTGGTGGAGTCTTAGCAAGAGCAGAACCTGGTCAGGAAAGACAAAGCCTGGCAATCCATCCCCACACCCTGCAGGTTGGCTGGCCGGCCTTGGAGCCATTTATTATAGTGCCAGTCATGTTTCTAGGCATGTGCAGATGGCAAGGGCAGTGTCTTGGTGAACTTTCTAGCTCAAAGAGCCAGAGGTATCGAAGCCTTTGTGAGAGCTCGGAAGTGGGTGTGTGGGGCATGTCCAGTGTGGGGTTTCGGGCTCACGGCTTGCCCTTTGGAGTCAGACCTGGCTTTGCATTCTGGCTCTGCTTCTCACGTGCACCCTTCCCTTCGGGTTTCGTGATGTGAAATGGAGATGTGGTCATTTGTGAGGGCTCCATGAAGGTTCATTGAAATGACAAATACTCATTTCTTTATTTGTGAAATGGAGATTATAGTGCTGACGTGCCGGGCGCGGTGGCTCACACCTGTAATCCTAGCACTTTGGGAGGCCGAGGTGGGTGGATCACCTGAAGTCAGGAGTTCAAGACCAGCCTGGCCATCATGGTGAAACCCCATCTTTAAAAAAAAAAAAAAAAAAGTGCTGATGTGACCTCAGCACAGTTGAGAGGACTAAATGAAATGATGTTGGATGCAGCCATAAAGAAGAGTGAAATCAGGCATTGGTGCACGCCTGGAGTCCCAGCACTTGGGAGACTGAGACAGGCGATGGCTTGAGCTCAGGAGTTTGAGACCAGCCTGAGCAATATAGCGAGGTCCAGCCTCTACAAAAAATATGAAAAGTAGCTGGGCGTGATGGTGCACGCCTGGAGTCCCAGCTGCTTGGAAGGCTTAGTTGGGAGGATCACTTGAGCCCAGAAGATCGAGACTGCAGTGAGCCATGATCATGCCACTGCATTCTAGCCTGGGCAATAGAGTGAGACCCTGTCTCAAATAAAAAGATTAGAATAGTAAGGCTGGGCACGGTGGCTCACGCCTGTAATCCCAGCACTTTGGGAGGCCGAGGCGGGTGGATCACAAGGTCAAGAGATCGAGACCATCCTGGTCAACGCGGTGAAACCCCGTCTCTACTAAAACTACAAAAAATTAGCTGGGCATGGTGGCGCGTGCCTGTAATC